GGGTTTTTGGCCATCTCCCCTTGGGTGAACTACCAGTGGTCCACCAACTCGGTTAATGTTTGTGGGAAAACACCTTCACAGGTAGGGCTTCCTCAGCAGAGGTTATTTGAGACCCTCGGCCATATAGAAGCATCTCGCGAGGAATAGGAGTAGGGTGACCAGTCGAACCAAGACACTCACCCACACCGTGGGGCTTTCGGAGACCATATCCTAGCCGAAAATGATCTGTTGACCATAACCTGTCTCGGCTAGGATATGGTCTCCGAAAGCCCCACGGTGCAACTGCGCAACACACACCATAGTCGTCATCGTACAGCAAAATACATGGAAGCGAACTTCGCTGATCGCTGCCAAACTCACAATGAACATGCGTTGGGTTTTGATGAACGAGTACTGCTAGCGTGTCCAGCCACTAAGCAGGGGAACGGTTAGGGTTCTCGTCCAAAGCCTTCAATTCCAACAAGAACCTAACCGCAGGGCAGCGGGTGAGGCGAAGTGGAAGCCCATTCACTTGGATCGATTATTCCTGTCCTATTTGACCATCACGTTCCGGGACAATTCAAGTGTGCAACGGAATGGGAGGAGAACAATCCTTCACCGCTTCGGAATACTCATCTGAGTGGACGTCCTGAAGAGCAACATAAAGTGGGCGATAAACAAGTTTACATAGCCTCGCGTCCTTCTATCATGAACACAACCTCATCAGCTCTCTTACAGAGACAGTGAGACGCATCCGTTCAAAAGGCACCTCCCCAAGGCTACCTTGAAAAGTTCATCGACCGTAATTGGATTGGATAGGATAGATTAACAGAAAAATACTGTTTATGAAACTTCCCTTGAAAGTAGATAACTGTAAGTGAAAGGGCTTTACAAACCAATGTTGCGCAGACGACAGTTGTCGAGGGCGAATAGTCGTTTGCTCTGGTCATTCAAGACGCAGATCCACACAACACAGAACACGAGATACATCCGTTAGTACAAGCACAGCAGCGTACCAACTCTCGAAGTTTGAGATCGGCAGGCATAAAACATTTCCGACATACACCTATATCTATCAAAACAATCCGCAGGGATGAACGCTACGTCAGACTCTTGTTTATATTATTCTGTAATTGCTCCTCCATATTTTCCTCATTCGTTTCAGTCCCTGTCGTCCAGTTGTATGTTGAAAACAGCCTAGATATTGAGCCTTTGCCTTCTCTCTAATCAATAGCTGCGATCGCCT